GCAGTTATTTTACGTCCATGATGGATATCAAAATAATCGTCAGATGATGCACAATTTTAATTTATCAATTGCCATTTCATATTTTTACTTTGTTTTCATTTTTAAAAAATCGGTATTCAAAACACTAACACGATTATGAAAGAACTTCAAAGCCATTGATTGTTTACAAGGGACATGGGGTACACAGTAATAACACCTATTGTCTTTTTCACTGACCCCTATACCTTGTTTATTTTGTGACAGAGAGCGACCGTGTCCACTCTGCGGCTGTTTGAATAAACATTTTCTCTTTGTGAAAAAAAAACGTTTTTTTTGTCAAACAAAAACAAAATAAAAGTATCAAAAAAGCTATTGGCGGATTAAGATTGTGCATTATGAGACGATTATTTTGATATCCAACACGGAAGTAAAATAATTGAAAGTAGTTTAAAAAATTTTCAAAAAGACTTTGAGAGACATTTTAGCGGAAACTTGTTTACATTAAATAAGGCAAATACATCCAACTTTCGGGATTATAATTAATTAATTTGCTCTTATCGTCAATTTAAAAAATAAATAGATAGATATATTGTCCTTTTAACAATGATAAAATATGTGCTTCAAATCAGTTTTATTTATTTAATTTCTAACAATTTTGTGTAGTCAATTTTAAAATTAGAATAAATTATTTATTTTATTTATTTACCATTTATTTATTTTTCTAATACCTATTTAATCCATAAAATACTTGGAATGGCTTTTTGTACCTGTCGGAAAAAAATACACACACACACACCTTCACAACAAGAATAATGTAGCTTATTTAAAATAAATAGTTTTTAAAATCAATTCAATAAATAATTTTAAATGCAAAGTGAATAAATAGATAAAACAAATTTACAGCACGTATTTAATCATTGTAAAAAGGACAATATATTTATCTATTTATTTCTTAAATTGACGATACAAGGAAATTGATTAATTATAGTCCCGAAAGTTGGATGTATTTGCCTTATTTGATGTAAACAAGATACCGCTAAAATGTCTCTCAAAGTCTTTTTGAAATTTTTTTAAACTACTTTTAATTATTTTACTTCCATGTTGGATATCAAAATAATCGTCTCATAATGCACAATCTTAATCCGCCAATAACTTTTTGATACTTTTATTTTGTTTTTGTTTGACAAAAAACGGTTTTTTCACAAAGAGAAAATGTTTATTCAAACATCCGCAAAGTGGACACGGTCAATCTCTGTCACAAAATAATTAAGGTATAGTGGTCAGTGAAAAAGACAATAGGTGTCATTACTGTGTACCCCATGTCCTTTATAAACAATCAATGGCTTTGAAGTTCTTTCATAATCGTGTTAGGGTTTTGAATACCGATTTTTTAAAATCAAAACAAAGTTAAAATATGAAATTGCAATTGACTAATTAATATTGTGCATAATCTGACGATTATTTTCATATCAATCATGAACGTAAAATTATTGGAATTTGTTTTCATATGCTTAAAAAATACTTTGTAGCATAATTTAGGAGAAATGATTTTCACATGAAAATAAAACTAAAAAAAATCAATTGGGGGCGGGATGTATATTTAATCACTTTGTTGTCTTGTCAGTTACAAAATAAATCAATTAATTTTTATTTATTTTGTTTATCTATGTGTTTGTGGATAAATTGATAAATAAACAAGATAAATAATTAGTTTATTTATAAATTTTGTATTTTTAAAGTCATTTATTTTATTTAATTTTCACTTTCCACCTTACCTTATTTATTTTGTGCCGAGTTTACTATGCAGCTCTGTATTTGTCAAGAAATAGATTGATTTGTTTTTAAAATGATTAATTTCATTTAATTAATTTTATTTATTTTTTCAAGGAAACTATATCAATTTTAAAAACTACAATTTTCCAAAATTCAGCATTACTCCGGTCGTGTTTTTATTTAAAGTTCAAAGTCACTCCAAGTATTTTATGGATTAAATAGATTTTTGCAAAATAAATAAATTAAGTAATAAATAAAACCAAAGAATTATTAAATAATTAATTTTAAAAAATTGATAAATAAATATTCTTTGAAGCAACAATTTAATATATATTTCATAGTTATTTCAGAGTTATAAAAGAACAAAATTAGTCTCTTAACACTTAAAAAAATACTACCATGTGTTTAAAATAATGTTCAAAAATTTCTTAGGTAAGTTACTCTGTGTACTAAATTGACAATCCCACATCTTAGGTAACCGTACAGTGTTCTGGGAGTGTGTAAACTTCTTCTTTTTGCTTCAATGAACATATACAGGGGCGTACTGTGGCATATACTGTGGTTTACCGTAGTTGTCTGTAGGAAACAGTAGCCATACAGTGGCATACTGTAGGCGTATCGGGGCCTACTGTATGTAACTGTGGCATGCTGGGGATACATACAGTGGCATACAGAGATTTACTGTATATATAGAGCTAGCATACCGTAGGATACTGTAGATATCCTGTAGATTACTGTGAAAATGCTGTAGGATACAGAGAAAGACAGTGGATTTTCATACGGACAGGGGTTTTAAAAGCCAGTAGTGTTAGATACGATAGACAGTCCCTTGTTTATGCATGATGGCAAATATCTTGTGTGTGAAATGTGTTTCCGTATAATTCGATTTATTTAGAAATTGTTCATGTTTGTCGTGTTGATGTGGAATTATTGTAAATTCCTGAATTCTGATACTTTACAATTCTGTTGTGTAAGGAATGAACATGAGGAAGATGCATATACTTTCAACAAAAATTCCTCAATCTGCCTCTAACAGTACATGGAATACGTAATGTTTACCAAAATGACGTCATATATACACGTTCATCGCAATCAGTGCTTTGTTTAAAACCAGTTACACGGGATTTACCTAGCAACGTTTTTTAATGCATTGATAAGTTTATTGTTGTTTATTATGATAATACAGTTAAAAGTTGCAAATAATTTCATTTTCAGGTATTATGAGAAAAACATCAAAGTCATATTTTTGTGTGACGTCACAGTAAACTTTTCCCGTTTAAATTAGGCCCCATCCCCTTTTTCAAGCCTTAACAATGCTGCGTTTTTGTGTGCTGATCATGAAATGTACTGAGCTCCACAGGTATTTGTTGTCCTGAGCGCATTAATCTTGACGCCAAGATTCTTACTTGGCTAGTGATACCTTTAGAAAACATTTGTATCTAGATGAAAGTTAACTCAACAACATGTGCCTTCCCATTGTTTTAGTTAATTAGGTGATTGCAACTCAAATACCAGATTTCGCGGATTCAACGATACCTAATATCGGGTATTATACACGAATTCACGGATAATACCAGATTTCAAGTATTCTCTCCAACCTATTAAATGCATTAAAATAAATCTAACCAAAATTGAACATTTCATTTTAGGTATGTCACTCGTCAGCCTTTAGAAAAGTTTGCGCAGAATCTTTTACTTCAAAACTATTCATTAAAATTCAATTCTTTTAACATATTTCAATTCTACAATGTAATGGTTTTGAATATCAACGAAAAAAGTGCTCATAAAGCTAAACGAAACAAGATTTATGAGGGAATATTTTTTTGTGGTGGATTATATTTAGCAGATAATTCTGCAAATCAGCACATTTATTAAATCTTATATCCTTGAACTTTATCCTCACATACTTTTACTCGGAGAAAATTTTCAGTTGTGATATTGCTATGAATATTTAATATAGGTCTTATTTTATATTTTTCAAACAAGTTTTGCATCTTCCTTCAACATACTTTGCCAAAAAATAAAGATATGTCAAATAAGACAAGATAAAATTTACATCATTTTTTGCCTGATAATCACATATTTTGACAAATATTTCAAAATTTACATCACTGACCCTCACTTTTTCTTTCTTATTTTAACATACTCGATACTTGTGACTGTTCAGCACTTAAGTTGTAAAAGCTTGATTTAAGAAAATGTTTTATTGCCTATTGAGTTTTTTAATACCCCAAATATGCTACTTTTAAGTTCATAAATGTCACACAATAATTAAGGTGCATTTATTTGCAAGATGTTTTTAATAATAATAATATATTATTATTTAAACTATTTTTACGCAAAATAAAATCATATTTATTGCCATGATTTTTTTCTGATAAAACATGATAAAGGTTAAAGTAATATACCAAAGTATTAAGGTATAAGTGCAAAAAGGTCAACTTAGTTGTACCGTAGATCAGCAAGATGCAAACTGACCCAATATTTTCTCTTCGATTTTGAGTAAAACTATATGAGTACTTATCTAAAATATACTGTAGTACACTAAATTTTCGCGACACCTTATTATCGCGAGATTGTCATTTACTCTTTGTAAGCGACATATAATTTTCACGAATTGTTGTTATTTCTCTACATATGCGTAAGAAATACTTTTAAACGCGAGAATTTAATTTTAGCGAACACATTGTCCAGCGTAATTACGTGAAAATAAAGTTCTCGCGAATAAAAGGTGATTTACAGTACTTCTCAAAAAAATCCTTGATTTAACAAATTTCACGTGGCATACCTTAATGATGTTTAATTGAATTAATTTCATAGATATTGAACATAAGGGGTTCTAAAGATCTGATGACGGGTTTTTTGAGTAATTGCTATTTGTTTCCCTTATATGTCTATGTATTAAATTATCATCAAACCCATAAATCATTAAGATAAATAATAGAAATAGGGACTATTTTTTCATTCAATCAAATGCTTTCGTTGGTTGTTTGTACGGGTACTCATGTCGCAGATGTTGTAGAAAAACTACATAACCCGCATTAGCGTCACTTTGCGCATTACGGATCGAATAGCCATTATTCAAGAAATCTATGCGTGCAACTTGCTTAGTGTCGTTTATGGACAGATTAACTTCAATGGTCTTTATAAGTGTTATAATAAATAAATTTTTAAATGTTGAACTCAATTTTAACACAATTTTAATGTAGAATATAAATTATTACGAAGAAAAAAATTAGTTGCTTTACCTCTCCAGTCAGTCCTTTCCAGAGGGGACTGCGATACAGTTGGGAAACTGTCAGTCTCTTTAGGATTCTAAAAATGATAATGATCATCAATCAAATATTTTAATCTAATTGTAATATTTGATTATTTAAATATCACTTATATGAAGTGTGATGGTCAAACATCAAAATGATGCTTACATGTACGACAGGTTGTCGTAACAGAACTGAGACATGAGGACGAAAACGTAGAATTTCAATCAATCATTTTTTACAAAGGCTTAAAATACAAATAAAGTAATATGCAAAAAAATGTCAACCAACAAACATAAAAACTTGTCACTTATGACTAAAGGAAGCGCATTGTAGGTGGAAGAAGACAATATTTGCCATTCTTTGTATTCTAACAACGGTCAGTACTAATTTATGTAAAGCGTTAAATGGTCATCTCAACGAATGCTATCTCTAAGGCTATTAACCAATATTCTAAAAAGTGTACATCCAAAATTTATACAGCTTTGATCTGATAGGGCTTGCAGTAACTTTGAAACAGACCTATTGAAAAACTTCAATATACTCAGTAGTCGCCAATCAAGAAAATGTAATTCAAATCTAGCATCTGAAGCAAGTTTGAGAGTTTTCAGCATCTGAAACACGTCTATTATTGTGCTTCCTTAGATGTGTCATCCATGCAAGTTTGCTTAGCATAGGATTCATAGTTACTTTGAGATGAAACCTGCATAGAAACTTATCTTTTTCACTCATCCGGATAATATAGGTCAGATTCAGCATCCGAAGCAAGCCTTGTAGTATGCATCCTTATGTGTATCATACAAGCAAGTTTGGTCATTAAAGGGCTCATTATTACATTGAAATGAAACCTACGTCAATAATTTAACCTGTTCATTCAACCAAAAAATGTAGGTCAAATTCAGCATCCGTATCAAACCCAGCTGTGTGCATCCTTAGATGTATCATCAATGCAAGTTCAGTCAACATAGGGCTCATATAAACTTGGAAATGAAATCTGCACCAAAACTTTTAACCTGTTCACTCATCCGGAAAATTTAATTCGATCCAGCATCCGAAGCAAGCCTGGTTGTATGCTTTCTTAGATGTATCAACCATAAAAGTTTGGTCTTTATAGGGCTTAAAGCTTCTTTTTTCAGTGAGTCAAATGGTGACGTTTGTCATACTAATTGTTAGTCCAGTATTTATATACTTGACTTGATGACGGATTTTCCGTTATTTCCTGATCATGACAATAAGCACACAGCAGTCGTGACCGGTCAGCAGGGATGCTCACTTTTCCATGGCAATTGATCCCAACTCTGATATTTCGGAGGTCTGTGTTTTCTCTGCTCTTATTTGTATTGTTTTGTGAACTTTGAAATATCCTTCTTGGAAATGAGACCAGCACCAAAAACATTAACCTGTTCAAACATCCGGAAAATGAAGGTCAGATTCTGCATCTGAAGCAAGCCTGGTAGAATGCATTCTTAGATGTATCTTTCGTGCAAGATTGGTCAACATAGGTATTAAATTTACTTGGAAATGAAAACTACACCAAAAACTGCACCAAAAAATGTTGACTTTCTCCAAAAACATTACCCTGATCATTTCTTTGCTGAAATAGCAGCAACCATATTGACTGGTAAAATGAAACACACAAGAATCATCTTCCATGCATGTCTAATCAATATAGGACATAGAATTACTTGAAAAAACTGCTCCAAAAAACTTTAACCCGACGCCGACACCGACGGTATTACATAAGCTTCCCAAACTTCGTGGAGGTGAGCTAAACATGTACGCAAACAGGAACATGCTTGAAAAGAGACCATTTTTGTAGATGATGCTTGAAATTTCATACACGTATCAAGGACAAAAGTATTCAAGTAATAGTAGCTTTAAAAGAATTGATGGACTAGCATTTTTAATCATTAACTCCTGCAATTTCAATATACCCTCACTATACAGATTGACATTCCGTGTATGGATTTTAATTGTTTCCATAGCTGATCACATCCCCTGCTCATACAGAGCTGCAATTTTACGACGATCATCCCAATTAAGCTATAATTTTTAACATGTCTAAAAAAGACCCTACCGCGATTATAATACACTTATGAATACTCTACTACGTTTCTCCTCCTGTTTTCGGTCTCGCTTTGATCATGGTAGAAGTGCGTCTGTGTGTGAAAGGAAGGGGGAGGTTATCGCGTAGACATATATTGCAACATCTCGCTTAAAACCGAAAAGACATAGGAAATAAGTAATATTTCTTGATATAGATTAACATTTTTAAGTAGAAGACTGCAATACTGCAGATATAAACCTATGCTTGGCAGTCAAGGTCATTGAGCAGTATGGGATTATTTTTTATGCCAACAACTATTGCAACAAAGGACCTTGGTTTAGATGGTCTCAACCAAAGGACCAATGTTCACGTCCCAAGTTGAGATTGGAACCCACCACGTAAGGATGAACTCCTAGCTTACTCAGCAACTTTAAAACATATAGGCTAATGGAAGTAGAGACATATTTATATAAATTACCTGTTCCCAGAATCTCCTAGTTTCTTGTACATTTATTTGGTGGTTTTCTCCAATTGGACAGCAGGAACACTCGATGTTTTCAAGTCCTAATTGACAAAGGTCCTCTACTAATGTAAACGACGTATCATTTTGGTCACAAAATATTTTTTGGCATTTGTATCCTCTCTGGAAAGTCAAATTTGTGTTTTCAAATGTTTGAGTGAGTTCATGTAGGCCCATGTCGATTAAACGACCTATTTCACAGGAGACTTCAGTTCTTATGTCCAAAGCGTTGACTTGCAACTGGATGTCTTTATCACAAATACCGAGTAAAACAGTGTGGTTTTTGTATTTAAAAACTGCTGCTGTTTGAAAAAGACATCTATCGGTTTTGTCCGGTACAACTTTCCATTTGAGAGAACTCACGCAATAAGCTACGAGCCTATAAAACACAAATATGGCAAATGATGTGTATCGAAAACACAGAATTGAGGAACATGCTTTTGCTTTAATGATGTCTTTTGTAAACGGCTTTTTGTTCATACAAGGCACATACCAAGACTGGCCTTTACCTATTTCACCAATACTGACCAACATTCGGAGTCTCTCCATATAACTCATTAGTTCCGTTTTGTACTCTATGTACGATGGCGCATTTGTTGAGTCCACTTTTTCATCTTTCCAGAGAGCTTCGACCAACTTACTGTTTAGTTCTCCCGTCTTGTTGAAATTTTCCCATTCTGTAATATGTTGTCTCTTGCAGTCTCTGTTGATATGCTTTTTATCCGCTATAAGCCTAGAGAATGCATCAGAAAACCATTGTAAACCGAGAATTGCGTGTGTGCGAGTCGCTTCACCATGAAAATACAATAGTATTCCATGATCATGAAAGAATGTTAAAAAATTCGTTATTTCTTCTTCGCTCTCTAGACGATATTGCTCAGGAACTTTTCTATTCATTTCCTGAATTTCCTCATAAGATATGATTGGTTTTCCAGACTCTCGTAAGAGGTGTTCTAGTAAGGCCCAAGATGAGCGAACTGGAATTTTTGTGTCCAGTTTATTTGACACTACTTCAACAAGGGCGTTCTTCAGCAACTGTAACTTTTGCGTTCTTTCGCCTTCATTTATGTTTATAAGTTCAAATGCATATTCGTTTTCTTCACTGCGATGATTGGACAGCCATGTTTTGTCGACCTCTGGTAAGGACCGCCATAGACATACGAAATAATCATCTATATCCTAAATTGATTAGAATTTAATATTATTATTAATTTTATTATTATTAAAAAGTTATAATATTTAATTAACATTTCCTTCTCCCATTTGTATCTTTATCATCTGTATCAATTTGAATAAAATCATAACAAGAGGCCCAGGGGCCACAGCGCTCACCTGAGCACATCAGCTAAGAAAAAACACATATCAGATCAGAACTGAAAGTTTAGTAACATTGTGGGGGAGGGGGGCTTGAATTTTAACCCCCATGGGATCATGATTTGAACGAACTAGAATCTACACTACCTGGGGATGATTCCATATAAATATTACTAATCATGGCTTTGAAGTACTTGATAGGGAGATTTTAAAAGGTTTCCCTAAATATTCCTATGTAAAACTTTTAACGACCATTATGGCCCCACCCTAGCCCCGGGGTCATGATTTGAAAAAACTTGAATCTACACTACCTGAGGATGATTCCACATGAGTTTCAACTTTCCTGGCCTAGGGGTTCTTGTGAAGAAGATTTTTAAAGATTGTTCTTATATATTCCTATATAAAACATTGATCGGCCATTATGGCCCCACCCTAGCCCAAGGGGTCATGATTTGAACAAACTTGAATGTACACAACCTGAGGATGATTCCACACGAGTTTCATCTTCCCTGTGCCTATAGATCGTGAGAAGAATTTTTTTCTATATATTCCTATGTAAAACTTTGATCGGCCATTTTGGCCTCACCCTACCCGCAGGGGTCATGATTTGAACAAACTTGAATTTACACTACCTGAGGATGCTTCCCTATAAGTTTCATCTTTCCAGGCACAGTCGTTCTTGAGAAGAAGATTTTTAAATCATACCATCAAATTTTCACTATTTCTTACTTATCTCCCCTTGTATAAGGGCGTGGCCCTTCATTTGAACAAACTTGAATCCCCTTCACCTAAGGATACTTTTTGTCAAGTTTGGTTGAAATTGGCCCTTGAAAGAAGTCTCAAATGTGAAAATTTAACGACAACGACAACAACGAAACCAACGACGACAGATAACGGACAAATTTTGATCAGAAAAGCTCACTTGAGCCTTCTGCTCAGGTGAGCTAAAAAGTCCTAAACCCTTTCTAAGTCTGGAAAAAAATGATATGAAGAGAAATTTACATAAGACAACATTATTAATGATTTGAAAATGAATATATTTTAAACTCTAAAAGAAGAAGAAATAATACCTAAAATAGAAATGAAAGTTTTGAGATCATTTCGAAGAAATTTAGTACACTTGCATTATAAAAGCTGATAAAGGCGGAGCTGTGTTTATTAAAGACATGAGCCTAATTATTAAACAAAAAGAATGAATGTTTTCTTCAAAATTTTGCATATATGATATCTTTACCATAAATCATAATGGTTACTTCATAAATATTATCATACGTGATTCCTTAATTATCCATCAGAATTTTACATCTGATCTTAATTTCGTTGTCTTCTTTTATAAACTAAAATGAAAATTGTTTGGAGACATCGGAAATTATCATTGTTACTAATGATGATAAATATGCATAAATACACTCGTACATCTTCTGTTTTGCCATCTGTGTGCGTAGCAACAATAAGGACAGGTGCTTCAGGGCCGCCAAATGATTTAATAGAATTCAGCCAGAATTCTACATACTCTATCAAAAATGCAATGAAAAAAATTAAACATTACTTACCGGTATATTTTTTCGTAAAATGTTTTCTCTTTTTATATTTAATTAGTAAAATAGATATAAATTAAACATTAATTTCTGAGATCTAGACTTAAGAGATCAAATATTTCCCGGATTATATTTCGCCCACCGTTAAAAACGTATATGAAATAAAACAATATTTAAGGAAGACAACTACAATGTATTTTTAAAATGTAACTTTGCTTGAAAAATAATGTTTACAAAAAGAACATGCTCTTGCGTATCGAATAAACTGGGAGACATAACCCCAACATGCTTTTGATAAAGATATATAGTTTTATGAATAAGAGAACTTTACGGTGGAAAATTGAAGTCATCACGTTTATTAGAAAAGAGTATATTAAAAAAGTTCAAGTTAAATATGATATATAGAGTGGAAGTATGAATGGAAAAAAAGTACGATTTTAAAAATGTGTCGCTTGTTCTTCAGGAATTGATGTCAATTTTTTCATTTATACTCAGACTCAAAAGAAAGGTAACATCATAATTTTAAGGTGAAAAATCTATATGGGATACAACTATGTACAAAAAAATAGGACATCCTTAACTTTGATTAATTCGTTTATTGTATATTGTTTAACGTCCCTCTCCAGAATTTTCTCTCAAATTGACACGTCACCGTATGTCGGTGAAGGGCTTCAAATTTTGATCTTTACTTGGCACTCAGGACCATTGAGCAGTGAATGAGTTTTATCGTGCCAAAGCCTGCCTCGGTTTTTTAAAAGTCTCATCTGAAGGACCCTCTTTAACTTTGACAAATCAGTTATGTAGTGTATATTTAAATATGCAGTTCTCCTTTTCTTTATTTATGCATGCTTTCAGTTTCAGGAAGTATGTATAAGCATCACATCCGAAAAAATAAAGAGAGATTTTACCGCGAATATTAGTATATGAATTACGATTAACAGGAACAAATCTTAAAAATCCAATAATTTCATTAAACATGCTCTTATTTTTTATTTCTGTTAAGAGGGATAACAGACAACTTCCGGTAATAGGGTGAACATTCAACAGTTAAATAAGTGATTTAGCAAAGTAAAAGATGTCTTCACTATTTGGGGGTACAAAGTTATATCCCGTTTATAATCTTCACAAGGTGTTATGTTTTTTATGATTGGATGTATATTTCAAAATTTTTTAAAAGTTATTTATTTTAATAGGTGAGTGATCAGACAAATGAAAGATCCAGTTTCAAAATGTTTATGCAGTTGAAAAGAATTCACCAAGGTGTACCAGAATTTCAAGGTGAAAAATATCTTGAATTAATTTCCTTCAAAATGAGCTAAACACTTAGTTGATGGATGGAAAGACGAATGAATGGAGATCGACGATCGGAAGACGGACATGACACGCCAATCAAATTATCTTAAACAATTTACAGTGCAAGAAAATAATGTCAAGATTTCTTTAATTTATCCATCCCTTGAAATATTTGTTTGTCCATCCCTTGTGGTGTAGGGATTAATTATAAGAAATATTACATCATTGATAGATTTTCTATTCTTTTTTTATAAAACTGGTTGTGTTATACCTTGTCAAATTTCTATCAAATTAATCAATATCAGATTAGTCTTCACAGCTTATTCAATGCCAAATTAATTTTGAAAAAAAGACTGGCCATCATATGATATATGCTATAAACTGACAAACAGTTCTGTGTAATTCCCAAAGGATATAGATAAGACTCCTTGGTTAGAGATGCTCTAAAGAAATGATTGAGAGAGCTAGTCTTTCTACAATTATCTTTGACTCCGAAGAGATAAATTGAACTACACTTTCAATGCTAAATGTTTTTAAAACATAAAATATCCAATGATTTTATTTTCTTTGGGTCAAAGCGACCTACTTTTTGTGTAAGACATACCCAAGATGTATCAGCTGACAAAGATTGATACCTCTAGGTCTAAAAGTATGAATTTTATGAGTTGGACACGGGAAAAGCTAACAGACAAATGAAGAGAGACAGACGGACAAGAAATCTTTAACATAATGAGTCCCGTCAAAAGACGTGTATAAAAAAGTAAAAACAGAAAAAACAAAAATATACATGGGCCTTATGGGTCACCTGAGCATCATGCAAAAACATTTCATTGATTTTTTTTTTAGTCATGTTTTAAGCCAGGTGCTATGGGATTCAACATTTTGAAAGAGGTATCATTGATCATAATAACTATACCCATAGGCAGAGTTGGGGAACAAAAATGCATTTCAACTTATCAATAATAATCAACAAAAATCAGTAGTGCCCCTGCCTTACATGAACCCCTGACCTTTATGCTTTGATCCACACATTGCACAATTTTTGAAAAGGCACCCTTGCCTTTGGAAAAAAAAATATTTCATTATTCCAAGGAGCAGATTTCAAACAATTCATTCATTTTCAGTACATAAGTACAGCCCCTTCTTTGGTACCCCTGAACCTGGGGCCTTGAAATTTACAATTCTGGAAGATTAGGGCCCTTGCTCCTCATAACTATATAGGTAGTTCATCTGCTTAATACACAGGAAGAGAAGAAGATTTTCAAAGATTTAATGTATTTTCAATATATAACCATTAGAGATCCGCCCTAACACCAGAACCCCTGACCCTGGGGGCATTAAATTCACAATTTTGGTAGAGGCACTCTTGCTAATCATAACTATGCACTTAGTTTATTTGATACCCAGGAGCAGAGAAGAAGGTTTTCAAAGAATTCGAGCATTTTCACTATTTAATCTTTAAAACCCCACCATAACCCCAGAACCCTGGGGCCATAATTTTGGTAGAAGCACCTTTGCTGATCATAAGCATGCACTAAGTTAGTTTATTTAATACCCAGGAGCATAAAAGAAGATTTTCAATAAAAATAATGCATTTTAACTTTATACTTATTTACATGTAACTCCGCCCTAGCACTGGAACCCCTGATCCCAGGGCCATGAATTTCACAAATTTGGTAGAGAACTCAATGCTGATTACAATCATGCAAACAGTTTGACTGCTTGATGTCCAGGAGTAAAGAAGAAGATTTTTAAAGATTGATTAAATTTTAGGGGTTTTAATTTGACCCCACCACTTAGGTCCCAGGGGGCAGGGATCATGAAATTCACAATTTGTGTCTCCCTTCACCCATAGATGCTTTGTGCCAAATTATTTGAAATTGATTCAGTGGTTTCAGAGAAGAACCTGGAAATAATTAAATGTGTACGCACAACGCATGATGACGAACACGAAAACAGATAGCAATGAGTCACCTGAATTTTTTAAGTGACCTAAAAATAGAGATTCTTGAGAAGTGCTCCATTTTCTGTAAAGTTGATGCAAACTGAACATCGCACGAATTTTAATTCCTTAACTTTTAACTAATTATCTCTTTAAGCATTTGACTTAGAAGACTACCTTTGTATTTCCAAGTAGAAAAAACAGAACCCTTCTGGTCTTCTTCTTCTTCACCGAAGACAACTTCTTCAAAGCTCTTTGTCATGTCCATTACCAATATGTAAAAAGCCGATGATCTCATGTAAATTTGGTGACATGCGTAATATGCGAATTGTCCAGCGAAATCAATCATACTGACACTTATCTCGTTCTCCTGTGCATCTAATATCTTCTTGATTATTTCCGGGGAGAGTGTTTCAGCAACTGTGTCTTTGGCTGTAGTGTCTGAAGCTGTAGTACACTTATCTCGTTCTCCTGTGCATCCAATATCTTCTTGATTACTTCCGGGGAGAGTGTTTCAGCAACTGTGTCTTTGGCTGTAGTGTGTGAAGCTGTAGTACTGTGATCCTCTACCTTGACATCAGAGGTGAGGTTAATGCTGCTTTCTTCCGGCCCTATGTTTTCAGTATTCTCCTCACATATATCGTCTGTGTCATGCAGTTTACAATTATTGTCTGTGTTGTCCTTTCTTTTTGATCAGAAAGATCGCCTGTGTTGTCTTCTTCTATTCTATCAGCATCTTCATTATAATTGACATTTTTCTTTGCAAGCAAAGATCTTGGAACTCTGACCAAGAATTTTCGTTCAAGATTCTCTGTAGCTACAAAGAAATAAAAGGATTATAGAACAATATGGAATAACGAACATAATTCTCAAAGTCCATCAAACAATACAAAGAAGAGCTGAGCAAACACGGACCCCAAACATTCACAGGTGGGATCTGGTTCCATGGAGGGGTGAGCATCCCCTGTCAACGGGTCACATACGCCGTGTGCTCGTTGTCGTGATCAGGAAATAACGAGAAAAAAATCTGTCGTCCATTCAGTGTATAATTAATGGACTAACAATTGCTATGAAAAACGTCAGTCAGCATTTGACTCTAGTCAATGATAAATTGTATTTGCTGACAAGGTCATTGTATCGACCATAACAAGTACGAAATGATGATTTTAAACAAGACTGCTGATATTCTTGATTCATCAAGTTGACAATAATTTACCTCATTCAAGAAATCGTTCCTACGTAGAGCATGCTCTTGGGTATCGAATCAACTGAGATATATATACTCCGTATGCAGGTGATAAAGTTATATTTCTATTTAAAACTTTGATTCCGTATTTTGGCCGCGCCCTACGCCGGGGTCATGATTTGAACAATATAGAATCTACAGAACCCAAGCAAGCTTCCACGTAAATTTCAGCTTTTCTGGTCTACTGGTTCTTGGAAATAATTTAAAGACTCCACTCTACTTTTGTCTTTTCTTGATTATCTCCTCTTGTGAAGGGACTTGGTCCTTTATTTTAACATTTTCAAACTTCAATTCAAACCAAAAATACTTTTTATCAAGTTTGGTTAAAATTGGCCCAGTGGGTAGAAGTCAAACATGTGAAAAGTTAACAAACAGACAGACTTACAGCTGGTTGGACAGACAGCGGACAAAATGTAATCAAATAAGAGGCCCAATTTGGCTACATCGCTCACCTGAGTTACTTGGGTGATGCATTTCTTTACCAGATTTCCCCTCTTGCTATACCTATACAATCTAATATCTACACTATCCGAAGATGCTTCCACATAAGTTTCAGTTTCCAGGCCCAGTGGTTCTTGAGAAGAAGATTTTTAAAGATTTGTACTTTGTATTTCTATGTAAATTTTGGATTCCCTAATGTGCCCCACCCTACCCCCGGGCAGTCATGACTTTAACAATTAAATATTTACACTACCTAAGGATGCTTCCACATAAGTTTCAGCTTTCCTGGCCCTGTGGTTCCTGAGAGGAATATTTTTAAAGATTAGTTCTATATACATATATTTCTATGTAAAAATTTGGATTCCCTATTGTGGTCCCGCCTTACCCCCGGGGGTCATGATTTTAACAATTTAATATCTACACTACCCCAGGATGCTTCCACATAAGTTTCAGCTTTCCTGGCCCAGTGGTTCTTAAGAAAAAGATTTTTAGTGACACACCCTATTTTTGTCTTTTCTTGATTATATCCCCTTGTTAGGGGACTTAACCCTTCATTTTAACAATTTAATTCCCCCTTCACCCAAGGATGCTTTGTACCAAGTTTGGTTGAAGTCGAAAATGTGAAAAGTTTACAGACGGACAGACGGACAGACGGTCAGACAGCTAGACAGACGGACAGACGACGGACAAAATATCATCAGAAAAGCTCACTTGAGCCTGTGGCTCAGATGAGCTAAAAAGCTCACTTGAGCCTCGGAGGTTTTAATTGGGGACCCAGTCCCCATCCCCTGTGTCTAAAAAATACACAAAATTTGATAAATCAATGGGTATTTTCATGTGGCTGAAGACCCCTATCCTGAAGGCAAACTGGTCGCCCTCCCTTTTCAAGTTTTCTGGATCTGCCACTGTCAGAGAACATGGTAGTTAGATTTCCATCAACATCTTTTTCAAGTAAAATATCCAAATATGAAACATATGTGTCTGAATCTGTGTTATCTTTTATGTAAAGCTCACCGGAATACATCATTGGAAGACTATGGCTCAGGTGATGTAATAAACCCCAGAAAATTGTATTTACACCGAAAATGCAGCCTTAGTAACTATTCCATGAATATCTGAACTACCATCCAGTTAAACTTAAATTAGTAAGAACATTTTAGAATTTAACTGAAATAGTGAGTAAAGTATTTTTTACCCAGTAAAGACCCATCTGTCACTGTAAATATATGTTCGTAAACTTGAAGTCCTCTTGTTGATTTTATTTCTTTTATTTCTTTGACACTTTTGCCAATAAGACTGTAGAGGGGTGTTGTTTTCCCAGCTCCACCACATCCAACCACAAGTCCTCTAGCATGTCTTACTGTTGTAACTTCTGTTCGCATGTGTTGTAGAAGATCTTCTTTAGGATTGTCAAGACCTGCTCAAATCGATATTTATAATTTTACTTAATTAAAATATACCTAATTTTTTTTTATTAAATTATTATTTTCTTAAAATCAATAAAAACAACTAAAAGTCAAATGGTTTGTACTTTAAACAAACGAAAGAGAAGTGGCAGTTGGGACTTTAAACTTCACAACAGCAATAAACAGAAAAATGATCTTTTATCTCAATGTACAATACTTGCATGCCATAGAATACATATACTGTAATAAACATAAAACTGTATTTTGAATAGCGTATTTTAAGTATTTCACAGACATTACTATTTTTAGTAAACACGACAACACTGTTTATTGAAATCAAAAAAAAAAAAAAAAAAACAATTCACAGAATTATGTTCCTACGTATCTACGTGTAGTCTAATTGTGTGCCAAGTTATATTGAAATCAGGGCAAAACTGTAGGAGTAGCATTTCAACATCAATGTATTTCACAGAAATTTCTATTTATATTAACAATGGCAACACCGTTCGTTGAAATCAAAAACCTAAATCAGAATTATTTATCTTTGCGTAGTCTACTTGTGTACAAAGTTATACTGAAATCAAACTAAAACTGTAGGAGGAGTAGCATTTCGAAAAATTGTTTACAGACAAATGGACAAACAGATGGATGACGGATGTATTACTATCGGATAAGTTCTTCTGGTGTCTGACAACTAGAGTTAAAAACTTGTTTTTAGAACCAACTACACATTCATTCAGTAAATATTATTCCAATAAAATTGTAGCCATATACTCAAAATTCGGACTTTAATGATTATACGTGTATATTATATTTGTTTTCATATTTATCTATTGTGTCCAAACATAAAAGAAACCAAAAATATAATCAGAATGCAATTAATTATAAATAATTTAATTTCACTAGTATCACCAATTGCATTGCCTGGATCATTCCGAGGAACATATAGACGTCGTGCATAGTATTGGGGTTTGAAATTGCGAAACTTGTAACACTGTAAACGACGGGCGTTAACTTTTGGTCATTTTATCGTTTTGGCTACATGGATTTTTTTTCTGGCAATGTGTATCAAGCTTCTATAACTTCCTGTGATGATGTCACACAACATTCATTAATAAATTTCTAATTTATAGACTGTTCTGACTGTTCGTAAAATAGGAAGCGGTCCGTAATATGCCGTAATCTTGACAAATTACAAGAAAAGATAGAATATTTGATAAAGATTTTTTTTATAACTATGACAGGTTCTCTTTGTAAAACTAAGTTAATAAATGAAATGTGCAAATCAAGAAGTCGTAAAATGTTTCTTTAAGAAATTATAAGCAAGCAGTAGGGACGATTAATAGAGTGATTTTGATGTCTAGTCGGTTTTGTTACTACAACACAAATATGCGTATTATGGTATTTAACCAAGCGTATAAAACCAATGTGAGCTGTATTCTTTACTGGGAAAGCTTTTAACAGATAAAATATAATTTTTAAAATGTGCAAATAAATAAAATTTTGTATTTAAAGAAACATTAAAAAATAAGACTTTTTTAAGAAAACAGGAGCAAAAATTGAATGTCTAGTCTGATTTGTTACGACGTGAATTTTTGACGTATACAATAACGTCAGAAACATATAATTTGACGTTACAAAATCAGCCCCAATTCTGTGCACGACATCATAATATTTTGTATAACATAACTTGCTTACGTCACAATGACTGAGTTACTTCTAAAACGTATTACTCCGCTTGACGTTATTTTTAAAATATGCTATATTTGAAGCTTTTTGCGGGTGAAAAAATTGTCTCATTGTTTACTTTGAAATTAATTATAAGGAATGAAGCTTATTTCAAGTTATGTTATACAATATAACATAACTTGGGGCAGTTGACTCTTTTTTATAAACCGCTTCGCGGGTTATGAAGCGAAAACTGCTCCAAGTTAATGTTATATCGTACACTAACATAATTTGAAATAAGCGTCATTCCTTAAGTATTAAGTCGCAATAAATGATATAAATTCCAAAAAAAAATTCAGTCAAGATTAATTTAACTTTGAACGTCCACTTTGAATATAAGTGATGCATGTGTCTAAATTCAATTCATTTTTTATGCAGCCAACATTTACTCGAGGAATTAAAGATTTAAATGGTATCGTTTTTTGTGGTTTGATTTTTATCCGACTATCAGTTTTCAAAATATTAGCAACTATCGTCGCCATCAATAAGACGCATGTCTTTTCACACATATCGAAGCGGTTTGATGATCAAGACTCAATTTCATTGTTTACTTTATATATTTCCCGGGCGAAAATTGATGGTTACATGAATGTTTTCTTGTTTCAATATAGTTAGAAGTAAAGATTGGC